TACAGTCTTATGCCTTACAATCCCAGATTCAACATAGTAACTGTCAAACGCTTCGTTGCAGAACTCAAGGCCATTGTCGGTTCTCAACCTCTTAACCTTTCTTCCAGTTTCAGTTTCGACCAGAACCTTCTAACTTTTGAAACTCTCAAAAGTTTCATCCTTCGTCTTATGAAATGAATACTCATAGCTTTCTAGAATAGTCATCAACGATGGATAGAAAATACCTTGCACCTGAGTGTGAAGGATACCTTGCAGGCCCCCGAAGATAAGCATGAATGTAATCCAAGGATCCATGTGTTCTTTGCTTTCTGTTGTTAAACTTCACCCTACAGAATTTACCAAATACACAAGATTCACAAAACTCTAACTTTTTGACTTTGTCACCTCCTAGCAGGTTCTACTTCCCCAATTCGATCAGACCTCTTTCGCTGACATGGCCCAATCTCATGTGCCATAGTTCTATCTTCGACACAGGTTTCGTGGATGTAACATTTTTCGAACCACTTACAACCTCAGCCTCAAGGGTATATAAGTCTTATTTCTTCGCACCTCTCAAGACTTCCTTCGACCCTTTTATGACTCTTAGGATACTTTTCTCTCCTTGAAAAACATAGCCCTTCCTTTCGAATTCACCAAGAGAAATCAAATTTCTCTTCAAATAAGGTACATAACTGACTTCAGTCAATAACTTTATTGATTCATTATGGAGCTTGAATCTCACAGATCTAATACCTGCAATTTTGCAAGATTTGTTGTTTCCCAACAACACCGGTCCACCATCTTGATCACATATCTCCTCGAACAACTCTCTGTTTGGAGTCATGTGCCAAGTGCAACCTGAATCCATAATCTACTCCTTTCTTGAGTTGCCGCTTGAAACTACAAGGACATCAGATGAGTCGAAGTCATCTTGAACAATGGTTGCATTGCCATTATCCTTACCTCCATGATCTTTTAGGCATTCAGGAGACACATTTCTTGTGTGACCCTCCTTCTTACAGTGATAGCATCGAACACCAAATGCTTCGCCACTATAAGACTTATGCTAACTGTTACCTTTCTTCTTGTCGAACTTACCATCCTTTCGTAAGAAATTTCCCTTAACGAACAAATCTTTGCCCACCGTCAAAGGTTTATGCTCCCTTAGTTTGTTCAAGTCCTTAGAATACAAGACTGATTGAACTTCTTCAAAGCTCAGGTACCTCCTTCCATACAAGAGAGTTCCTTTGAAGTGAGCATGTATTTTGGTGAAGGCACACAACAACAATAATTCTTGATCTTTATCATCGATCTTCACATCAATATTTTCAAGAATCTTGTTGAAAACATATCCAACTGCTCATCCAACACTTTGTATTCACTCATCGTGAATAAATACAAAGCTTGCTTCAGATAGAGTCGATTCACCATAGATTTGGCCATGTACAAACTTTCAAGTTTCACCCATAATCACGACACTGCAGTCTTCTTTGATACCTGCCGAAGAACCTTATCACCAAGGCTCAACAATATTGCGTTGTGGGCTTTCTCAATCATGACCATATTTTCTTTTGTCATTAACGCGTCGTCCATGGATGCCTCTCCCTTTAGCGCTTTCAAACAACCCTGCTGAACTAATAGGACCTTCATCTTCAAGCGCCATAAACCGAAATCATTCACTCCGGTAAACTTTTCAATCTCACACTTTGTTGAAGGCATCGTCTCCATGCTCACCACACCAATTTGTTGTGAAAAAGGATGCCTTGGAAAAAAAATATACACGGTTTCTTTATAGACAAGAAACACACAAGGGTTAGAATTAACGGAAAAATAACCAAGAAGAACAAGAAGAAACAACAAGGATTGGTTATTAACTGTTATTCTTTCCTTTCTCTATCAAACAAATTACAAGTATACAAGAATAAAGAATAACCTCTCTCTCTAGAATTATGATTTTATCTTCCTATTTTTCCTTATACAAGTTGAAAGACTAGTATGCTACTTATAAGAAAACTAACACACTAACCTAATAGACTTTTTAACAATTATCCATTACAAGCTAACTTAGGGTACAAGCTAACTTAAACAATTGGGCTTACAAGCAAGGCCCAATTCAACATGCTAACAAACCTAGCAATATTGACTAATGCATGTTAGAACAAACTTCGACTACAACACGCATTACTCCGACAACAACATTTGAACATACTTCGACCTCATGCTTAATTTCTGTCGAACCAGAAGCTACTCTTCGACCATACTAGAGTTCAATCCAATATCTCACAAATGCAATAGAGGTGAGAGGTGCCTAACACCTTCCTCTCGCCTAAGCGACTCCCGAACTTAGCATCACACTCTTATAATTTAGGTTTTATCATTATTTTCCTCTTCCTCGGGAACAAATAAAGGATGATGGCGACTCTGTCATTTTTCTAGCCGCGACAACCATCTTTCTTCGCCACTTGAAATTGTAGAGCTTCTTGAACCACCCTTTCATTTACTCTGTCAATCATGAGCTCATGTGCATCCAAAGAGCTCTATAACTTCTCAATTTTCATGTTTTTTCAAATCTTTAGATTCTTGAGTCGCCACTACTATATATTCAATTTTTAAAGTCATAGATCTCATCACCTTCTTAACCACTTGTCAGTCAGAAATAACTTTACCACAAGTTTTTATTTGATTAATGTTTACGATCAGCTTCAAGATGTAATCATTTATCCTTTGTTCTTCTTCCATCTGCATCATCTCATACTTCCTCCTTAAAGATTGAAGTTTCACTTGTTTCACATTTTCTCCATTATCATAATACTTATCTATGATGTCCTATGCCTCTTTTGACCTTTACACTTTTAAAATCTTTTCAAAACAATGAGCATTCACATTTTGTCGAATACACTACTACGGAAAACACCTCTTATAACGGTATACAACCATGTCCGACCAACTTTTGTGAGGTAAGGTGTGACTGTATGTATGATACTTTCTACCACGATCGTGCGACTGTGATTATAATTCAAGTAGCGCGCAACCTATCAAAACAATTACTTTAAATAAATGTTGTATATCTCAACCTATCACAATGGTTACTTTAAACAACCGTTGTTGTATGTCTTTTAATAAAATAAAATAAAATGCAGTTGTAGAACACAAGAACAACACCATCAACAACAACAAGAACAAAAACAAGAACAAGAACAAAAAGAACAACAAGAAGAAGAACAACAATAACAACAACAACAATAACAAAAACAACAACAACAACAATAAGAACAAGAACAAGAACAAGAACAATAAGAATAACAACAACAAAAACAACAAGAAGAACAACAACAACTAACATTGCTAACTTGAATTCATGTTTTCTTTGTCTCATTCAAGTTGGAGAAGAGGTGATGGAGTTTTGAAATTTGTTAATGAAAGAAATGATGTTTTTTAGTTTTGTTTATGGAAGAAGTGATGTTTTCGATCTTGGTTTAGTGGAGAAATATAGTGTCGTAAATGTTAGATGATGTTTGGAGGTAAAAGATGAAGTTCGTCTAAGTTGGAAGTTCATCTAAGTTTTAGGTTTCACACGAATCACTAATGGTAGTGTCTTGAGCGTTGATACTCACTAAATGGACGACAAAGATTTGTTTAAAAACGGTGAAGAAACTCAATAAACACGCTTATATTTTCCCATGATTTTGAGTGACTTTTCACCACAGTTGGAAGTTCCAACCATGATAAAATTGACTTAAAAATAAATAAAAACAAAATTATACGTGCTAGGATTTAAACTAATGACCAGACGTCACTTTTCACCACAGTTGCCTATGACAGTTGTGAAATGTCTTTCAACATATAAAAAAAAACACCCAAAAATAATTATTATCACAATTAACAAAAAAACCGTTATAAAATGGGTGTTACGAAAGATCTATTTATAGTAGTGATATAAAACAAAGTTTTGCAATCCTTTTCTTTTAAGTTTTTGAATGTGCCTCTTTGTACTTCGGTAAATTTTGCTTTCAGTATTTCGTAGTTATTTTGTACCATTTTAAGCACATCTTAAACCATCTCAAGCACATCTTGAGGTCCAAACAATAATTTCATTAAAGGACTCTATCTTTCCCAATTACTTCCATAAAAAATCAAGATGCTAGAAGGAAATCTAGCATTTATATTCATGGTTGCTGCAAGAAGCTCTTAATCACTGTGTTTCTCAATTTGATGACCACTCACAAATCTCCCGTATTTCCCTTTGATCAAAATCAAAGCTCTCGATGCCAATTGTTAACATAGTCAAGGTTATTTTGCTCAACAAGTTAACTAATGAATGTTAACAAGGGTGGAAATGAGTATTTCCTTTTTTTGGGTATATAAAGTTTGTTTGTTAAGCAATCTAACTAACTAATCAAATGTTAGTAAGTTAGTTTAAGCCATTAAAAAATCACTAAAAATCTAGAATTATTGTTTTAGGGATTAACAACTAAAAGTCATGGCTACATGTAGGGGTTTCAAGTAGAAAACTCTATATATCCCTAATATCTTAAGATATCTCAAGTCTTCCCTAGTCGAGGATTATTTTTCTCTGCTGTTTGGTTCCATGAAGCTTTCAGCAATATGTAGATGCTGAGTGGGAAAGTTACTAGACCACTCGCATGATGCTGTTTTTTAGTATATAGATTCCTTGACTTCTTGGAAATCTAAAAAGACAACCTACTATAGCCAGATCCTCTGCAGAGGCAGAATATGGAGCCATGTCAGCTTTGACATCTGAACTATTATGGAAGAAGCAATTGTTGAGAAGTTTGGATGTTAGAATCAATCAATTCGAAAATGACTATATTTCTATATACAAATTGTAAAGAAGTCTCAGGCCTTAAATTAATACACACTCATTGTCTCAAAAACTATAGTATATACAATTGATATATCTTGATTCAAATCTTCAAGTACAAATATAGAAATAGTGTATATACATATAGAGAATGAATAACAAGAATAACCAAGCCAAAAAGTTATATAATAGTTTATCCTTATGTTCTTCTTAGAGCTGCCAACCGTGCCGACAAATCATCGTACTCAGGTAAACTAGGATGCACATGTTTTGATGTTGTTGTTCTCAACATTTCAGGTACTAAGGAAGTAGATCTTCCACGTTCTTGTAATGTTTCAACCATACTCATATCTTTTTGAGAAATCGATTTTATAGGCCTTTTATTTTGCCCCTTACCAAATTCATGAGGTTGTTTCTGACTATAGTGCATTAGAAGTTCATCTACCATCTTTTCTTCAAATCCATCACCTGTTTCGGAAAAATCTTTAACTGTGTTTTCATTCGGCGGTGGTTTAAGAGGTCTTCTTCTCACTGATCTTGGTTTTGGTTTTTCTGCAGGTGGAGATTCAGTTGTTGTTTTGTTCAAATTGCTTTCGAATTTATTCTCTCTGATATAAGGAGGAGGAGGATCAAACTTCGAGGTAAACGGTTTCTTAACTTCTGTTTCTTCGTTGTCGTCGGATAAATTTTCTAATGAACTCGAACAAGCCTTTTGGCCATCCTGTGATGAACTATCAGTGATAGTTGTTTCACTGTCTGTACTTCTTTGCACACTCCACCATACATCATGGATTTTCGGGCTCGCGTTATCATTATCATTTTGTTCATCATCTTTAGGCTTCTCCTTCTCCTACAAAAATTAGCATTCCTTTCAATTAGTCATTTGAAACACAGCGCGATTTTGGCGAAAACTACAATGTCGATCCAAACGCGCATTTACCTGACGCGAAACAGGAGGTGAGTAAAGTCTTTGCTCCAAAGCCTTCACATCCCAATCTATAGATAATTCTTGTGCTAATTCATGCAATAGTTGGATCTTCATTTCTTTCGAAGGAGGATTTTGCTTCAATCTCTCGATAAACTGGCGTAAACAACGAAAATAACTTAAACCAGTAAACAAATGTGAATTAGTAAGAACTATACAAGAGTTTTCTCATTCGTTAATTTACTTTACCTCTTTATTCACATAAGGTTCAAGAGAATTCCCATACTTTTCTGTAAAAAAAGTTCTCAACTCGCGCAGTTCTGGAAGATCAGAAAACCTCGCAGCAGCATATATCAACGACGGTATAGCTTCCTTGCATTCATCAGGACAATCCCTATTGCAAGAAGATTTTTCTTTTAACAGTGAAACAAAAAGGAACAAGAAAAATCTTATACATAAGCTGATGATTAATTGATTATGAAGAAAATCATACTCATTTTTACAAATGTCGCGAACATGACCCGATACACTTCCAACAAATTTCGCTACGAGTTCATAGCAAGCTGACATATTTTGCTCCACCAAAAGCCCTTCAGCCTGTTTTCAAATACAAACACTACTTTAGCATACTAGCAAAATAAGCACTTATGGTATAAGCGCTTATGTATAATCAGCTTCTTTATACTAAAAGATAAAATAAAATATAAGCGATTTCAAAAATATTCTAAAGAGCTTAATAAATAAGTTGAAAACAGCTTATAGACATTCCAAATTAATAAACAGCTTATAGAATGAATGCAAGATTGGGATGAGTAGGAATCTTTGTGAGATAATTTCAAATAAAAAATTATTGAAGAAAAAGCATTCTTATTCCTTACGCTACCATTAACAGAAGAAGAAAAAAGAATGCATAAAAAATTATTACCCTTCCATATGCATTGTAATGAAGAGAATTTCTGAGAAGATCAGCGAGATCTTTCTTCAGAAATTTCTGTACCGCGTTTCGCTTCTTTCGTATAGTTTCTAGCCTCGTCTTTATAAATTTCAAGTTTGTTTTGCTGTTTTCATAATCAAAATCCATAAAAAAAAAAAATCAAATTAGAAAGAACGTGTTGATGAAAAATGAATGATTGTTTGTGTTTACCATTTTGTATAGCTTTTCGGCTTCAATAATCCTTCAAACATTTTTACACGAATAGAATTCTGTTCAAGAATGAGGTAGCATTTATGAGAAAATGAGTGAGTTTGTTAATGGAAGAAGAAAAGTTAGTTAGAGAGAAAGCGAACGAAAATGAGGTGGCAAAGAGAGAATAATATGGAATATAAAGGGTGGGGTCTCTCTGGAATTGGCAACCATTAAAAAGATGAGGTAATTAGAAAAATAATTGTTGTGAATCGGATATCTTTAAACAAAGTATAAATGGTTTCCTAATGATCAAGAAACTCACAAGGGGTAGGGTTAACAAAGAAAACAAGGTAAAACAATAAGGAACAACAAGGATTGGTTATTAAACTGTTATTCTTTCCTTTCTCTTAAAATAAGATTATAAGTATAGAAGAATAACAAAATAACTTCTCTCCCTTGAAATTAGGATTTTATCTTCCTATTTTTCCTTATTTCAAAATTGAGAAACTAGCATCCTATTTATAATAAAATAACACACTAACCTAATGGGCTTTTTAACAATTACCCATTACAAGTCAACTTAGGGTACAAGTCAACTTAAACAATTGGACTTACAAGTAAGGCCCAATTCAACATGCTAACAACCCTAACAATATTGACTAATGCATGTCAAAACAAACTTCGACTACAACACGCATTACTTGCAAACAGACTTCGACAACACTAGAGTTCGATCCAACATCTCACAATAATAATGAAAAGTGAAATTGTTATTTAATTTATGTGACCGAATCTATAAATTTTGAGTGTTTTTCCTTTTTGCATGGGAATTAATCTTGATTAGTAAGAAAATTAAAATCAAAGAATCAATGTGGTATGGACATTGTTTTTGGCAGTGGAGTTTCTACTAATAGTATTAATCAAATCAAATAAATCTTACTTAATAAAGGTTACCTCAATGGAGTTGTTTTTTTTAATGAGTTGAGTCTCTAGAAATTTTTTATAAATTTTTTTATAAATCTTACTTAATAAAGGTTACCTCACTTAAATTATTTATTTAAAAAATGTTAAATAAAAATCCAGTAAAAGTTTAGTTTATTCTTTTCATTTTACAATTTTATTCTTAAAAAAAAGTATTTCATGTTTTTTTTTAATATATTATATCCATTATAATGACGATTCTTCATCAGTATCTGTCACTCGCACTCCAATTCTCACTGGCTCGAATTATCCTTTATGGGTGAGTTCTATGCGTTGTGCTCTGGGTGCCAAAATGAAATTCAAATCCCATGATGATACTAAGTAGTTGCCAACTGACCTTTTTTATCCTTCTATTTGAGGATGGAATTGTTGCAATATGCTGATACACCCTTAGATTATGAACTCATTTGATGTGCATATCGCATATTCGATACATTCCTGGATTATGAACTCACTTGACATGCCTGTTGCACAATCGATCACGTTTATGGAAAATGTTGTAGATGTCTGGATTAATTTGAAGGATTGTTTCTCTTAAGGTGATTTGGTTCGCGTTTCCAATCTTCAGCGGGAAATGTATACCCTAAAACAAGACTCGTGAACAATAACAAAACTTTACTCTGAACTCAAAATTCTTTGGGAATAATTGGAGGTTTATATGCCAATTCACATTTGTACTTGTAAAGTTAAGTGTGCTTGCGAAACTATGGGAACCGATATACTTAACCATCTATTATTCCATTTTATGTGTTTCTTGATTGAAAATTTTGGGGATGTCAAATCCCAACTTTTGTTGTTTGATCCCATACCTTCACTTAACAAAATTTTCTCCATGATTTTTCAACATGAGAGACAAATTATCATCATGGTTTATGATGATTCTAAGGTTCTCATCAATGCCTATGATTCTGAACATTTTAACCCAAAATTTGAAAATAACTGCCCTGGTTTTCAAACCTCGTGTTTGTAAATATTAAAATCAGACTAGTCATATAGTATAAACTTGCTATATGAAACATGTGTTGAGAAACAAGTGTGAGTTCTAAGCCTCACATTGCTTAGAAAAGTAGAGGCTTAACACTTTATAAGTAAGAGGACCCATACACCTATCACCTTAAGATTTTTGGTGAATATGTAGTGTCTCTCTCACTTGTTTGAGTGAGTCTTTGACCTTTAGTTGAGTGTTTGCCCCAATGTGAATATTTCCCCTCATGAGTACCCATAAGTGGTATCAGAGCCCGGTTCGAGTAACGCATCAGCTCCTTGTATCGAAATTCTTTCTAGCATGGTGGTTAGACGACGTGTCCTATTGAAGTGCTCATGACAAGATAATAGTGTCTCTCAACGACGGTACAAACATGTAGATGAAAAAACTTTCATTTGAGGGGGGAACATAATAGATGAACTCACATTTGAGGGGAGATTATTGAAAAATAAATGTGAGTTCTAAGTCCCAGATTGATTAGAAAAGTGAAGGTTGAGCACTTTATAAGTAAGATGACTCATACACCTATTACCTTAAGATTTTAGGTGAATATGTGGTATCTCTCTCACTTGTTTGGGTGAGTCTTTGAATTTTAAGTAAGTGTTTGACCCAATGTGAATGTTTGCCCATCATGATGACCCTTTTAACATGACCTACCACCTCACTTGCAATTATCGAACTCATCTCCTGCTCAAGGAGTTTCTCATGAAAAGAGTAAATTTGATACTGATGATTATTTATTTTCTACTGCTAACCACACACGAGTCCATCCTTCCTTGACTCATAATCAATTAAATGAAAATCTTATCAATATAATTCAACTATCTAACATTAACCAACATCCTAGAACTATTACTTCAAATCAGGTTTGCTCAATCAAATCATCTGGTCATATACCAACTGACAACAAAGTTATACAAATTGTTAATACTTTATCTTGCAATAGTTTTTTCTATCACACTATAAACATTGGTCCATGGACAATAGATTCAAGAGCTACTCACCATATACATTCATCACTTCATTGGTTTCATTCATATAGTGAAATCAATCCTATGACTATATGGGAGAGTCGAAAGGAATCACCAACATATATTGAATCTTGGCGGGGATTTCCTCTTTCAATCTAAGTTGCATAAACAATTTTAGCCTTATAGTGCACCTCATGTTGTTTACAAAATATATAGAATCCTTAGTCCTATTCTTCAAAAACAATCTCCATATTTATTACTGCATACTAAAATACATGATTTTCATTCCTTAAAAGTCTTTGGTTTTTTTCGTTTATGCTTCAAATTTACAGTCCAACAAAACCAAACTAGAACGCAGAGCTAGAAAATTCATTTTTCTAGGATATAAAATTGTAGTAAAATTTATTGTTTTGTCTGACATTAACAACAAAGAGGTATTTCTATATATAAACACAACATTCCATGAACATGTAAAACACGACTCTATCCTATATGTATAACATTTTATCTTCTTATAAAATAATCAAAGAATAATAATTAGATTGTTACGTCTTCTTTCTAATTTGTAGTAGTTTTCATTTCTGTAATAGATGATATATTTTTTTTTACTTTTTAGTGTCTTTTTCAAATCTTTCAAAAAAAAATGTCTTTTACAAGAGTAAGAAATGATAGAATTTTGGACCACAAATGTAATATCACACCTGTTAGCGTTATTATTTAATTAGACAAAACTAAAGTGGTCTAATTGATATTAATTTATAGCCAAGGGCATATATTTTATGAAAGATTATTGTATAAATACATAAGTCAATATCTAATTTGATTAGGGGTCAAATTAGAATATTTTAAACTAAGAAATAACCCCATGGTTTATCAGGATTTTCTCTTCATCCTCATCAGAATAGATTCAAAGAACCCTAAGGAACTCCACAAATTGAAGGAAGATCACATTCTCGTAAACCTTCAACATTTTAATGGTAAACTCAGGTACGCTCCCACTTTCATTCTCTGATTGATCTGGTATGAATTTAAGGGATATGAGTTGATGGTGTATTTGACTCATAGGAATTGTTGGGTTAATTCGGGGATCAACAAATGAAACATTTTTCACCTTGGGGATTTTTCTTTTTTTGAACAACAGATCTTTGTGAGAGACACACCACATACTCATCCAAAATCATAAGGTGATAGGTGTGTGGGTTCTCCCACTTATAAATGCTCAATTTTTCATATTTCTGCCGTTGACACTCTTCAACGAGACACTCTACCCACAACCATGTGATACAAGTGAATGAGTCCCTTCACTTGAACCAAAAATTTATGATACCACTATTGAGATTAATTCAAAGGTCAACACAATGAGATATTTTTCACTTTGAGACATATTTACAAGAGACACAACGCATATTCGCTCTAATTTTTTTTTAAGATGATAGATATGTAAAATTTTCTACTTAAAAATATTTAAGTTTTCTTATTTTTAAGCAATGTAAGACTTTTTCACATTACTATACTTGTTTTTTTCAACAGAGATTAATTTAAAATTACATTTTTAATTTCTATATTGATAAAAAAAAAAGTACAAGGTTATGATGAAATTTAACAAGAAAGTAGGAAGATGTATTTTCTCAAGTGTTTGGCCTTTTATGTAAGATTAAGGAGTGAAGTAACAAAAAACTGCCCATTGTGTCTGATACAACATTTTATATGAAAGAAAAAAGACAACAAACAATCGATGTGAGATTTGACAATTGGCAATCAAGCATAAAATAGTAAAAAGAAAAGTCTAAACTATAATTAAACTAATGAATAATGAATAATGTGTTTACTTCCGGCAAACAAAATTCGACAGCCATTATCGGCAACAATTTATTTCTTTTTGGTAATTTCATATTACACAAACTCTATTTTTATTATTTATTTTGAAGAATCAAATATTTAATCTAAAAAAAATTAGAATGTTAGATTGTGCAATGCAAACATGGACGGCAATTAAAGTTGAGTTATATGAACATTAAAATATAGACACTTTATGTAGTGGAAATTAGAGTGTGTTAAACAATACTATAGTAGCATTCCTTACTGAATTGTATGTTTTTAATCATCAATGCCTCTCTCTTTT